GCCCTGTGCCCTCACTACTCATTTCTTTTTTATTATTAATTTTTTCCCTTTCCCCACCACCTTTTTAGTTGTCTACCATGTGTATCCCTGTATTTGATCTGGTCCCTGCCTTACTAACTGGTCCTCACCCCAGGAATATTTGTAGACAGTAGCTTTTTCCCTATGCCCCTTTTGCATTGTTTTTTTTTAAAGCTTTCCTCAGCGGACTCCCTTTCCTGCTATTTCATAGGAGATTCTAAGCCTAAATGCTGACCTCTGGGCCAGGGAGATCCAGTTGCACGGAGCCAGGCAGATGCAGCCGGGCCATGAATGGAGGCAGTGGGTGCTTGTGATGGAGACACACCTGAGTTTGCAGCCCTTGGTCTCAAGACATTTGTTTCATTGACCATGTCCCAGTCTCCGGCAACCCTACCTCTTGACTTCCTTTCCACTTTTCATTGTGAATGGTCAAAGTTTCATTCATTAACCTGAACCTGGTACTCTACCAGCAACCTCGGTGGGATCTATGATAATGTGATAAAATAAGAAGGACCTTTGGTGGCATAAATCATCTGCACTCAACTACTTATCTAAAGGTTGGCAGTTGAAACTCACTCAGTGGTGCTGTGGCAGAAAGGCCTGGTAACCACCTATAAAGAACACAGCCTAGGAAACCCGATGGTGCACTTCCACTCAGTAACAAATAGTGCTGCTATGAGTCGGAATCTACTCAACATCAACCTTTTATCAATGTCATAGAATATCATGAACCACAGATAAAAGACAATAGTGTATAGTTCTTGCCAAAGATACCCTATTAAGTAAGTGCACACACACTCACTCACTCACAACCATCAAGTCTACTCCAGCTCCAAGTGCCCCTATAGAGTTTCCAAGGCTGTGCATATTAATAGGAGCAGAAAGCCTCATGGTTCTCCTACATGTAGCTACGATTATATGCAAGAGCATTGCACCTGCTTGGTTGCCCCCAGGCTTTTCTTTCCTAGCCACTCTGGAAGATCGTGTGGAAAGTGGCTGACTTTTCCCCCAGTTTTCTTCTTCAGTTTCATAGCCAAGTGTTGAAAGAGCATGCTCACAATGGTCTACTGTATGGCTCTACTTGCTGACTTCATTGTGGCTGCACAAATGCTACTGTGTGGAGCATTTGTCCTCACAGTGAACGCTGTCCGCACCTGGCTGCACCCCACTGAAAATCAAGCCTAGAGCCCAAGGACAAAACAGTGTGAAATGTTTCTTGCTCAGAGTGCTGATAATGTGATTCTCTTTCATACTGTCTCCAGTCCTTTGTTCAGCTTCAGTTAGAGCTGAACCGTGTTCCCAGGACTGTGTATGTGCAGTCCCGCTACTGAAAGAAAAGTGCTGCTTGACGCAGTGGCTTCAGCATTTGGCTTCTTCAGGGTTTGCCATTCAAACCCTCTAGCCACTCTGCAGGAGAAAACTGAGAAAACGTGTCTGCTTCTGTAGAGACAACTTCCGAATCCCCGCGGAGAGGCTCTACTCTGTTTTATAGGGTGTCTGTTGTTCAGAAGTGACTGGATAGCAAGGGGTTTGGTAGTTAGGGTTTGTATATACAACAGGATATACAGCTAATCGTGCCACCAAGAGACTTAAGTCAAGAGACTCACTGAGGAGGTCTCTGCTGCTGATTTGCTTGCCCCTGTCCCCGCCCTCCTCCCCATGATATACAACAAGTACAGACACATGTCATTGGCTTTCTCACCTTCTGATCCTCTTCCTGACTATTGGTTTAACCAGAAATTCTGGATCCTCAAACGTGGTGGGTGGGTGGGTGGTGGGGAATTATGGTGACTCACCATTTAATATTTCACCTTGTCAAAGAGTTTGGTTATTAGACTGGTCACTTCTTATTTAGATATAGCTAACTTGTTGAATTGGGGAAATGACTACATTAGGAAAAAGGGTCATTCCCCCCAAACTTTGGTTATACGGCATATCTGGAATCTGTGCATAAAACCCCAATATGGAAAATCACTACTGCTTTTAAAATAGAGTGTAGCATGCAATTGACTTCATTTAATGTTTTCCTTCTTTTCTTAGAACTTTGTGAAGATAATACAAGCATTCATGTCACCAAGGAATCATGTGACACTGCTTCCTTGTTTCACCTCAAGGTGAAAAACACCTGGCTCAGCATAACAATAAAATTGTTGCCCCAAATAAATCTGATAAATCTGTTATTACCCTATCTTCCAGAAAGGAGTGTGAAGAATGTGTAGAAGCAAACATAAGATATAAAATAAATGGGCAGCAACATGTGATGGGGGAAGGGAATAGAAGAGACCAAATGAAGCCAGGAGTGAGTTAGATGCAAGCTGCATACTAGCCACCGCCCACAGCCAGCAAGTTGATTCGGACTCACGGGTTTCAGAGAGTGTAAATCTTTGTGGGAGCAGATCTGATGGGCCCTAGTATACCCTTTAGAGGTTGAACAAAATGTTGACTCTGAATTTTCCAGCAGAAATTTTGGTAAAGTGATACATATAATTTATACAAATTGCTACGTAACTGTAGGACAGTAGTGACTATGCACCTAGCTCACTGGTTGTCAAATAATTTGGATCTCTCCAGGGATAGGAGACCATATCAATCCAAAATTTTAGTTTTCGTTTTGATTGCCCCCCCCCACCCGCCATCTATGATATAATTCAGAAGCTCGGCTGGCATTGTGGTTATGAATTGGCCTGCTAATCCAGGTCAGCTGTTCGAAACCACCAGCTGCTCCCAAGAAGAAAAACAAGGCTTTATACTCCCATAAAGAGCTACATTCCTGGAAAGCCATAGGTCAGTTCTCCCATGTCCTATAGGATCACTAAGTGGTAGCATTGACTCCATGGCAGTGAGATTTTTGAGGATGTAATTTGAATATTTTTTTCTTTCAGTGATACATTTTTATATTAATAAAATTAGTTGTTATCAATTCTGGTACACGGTGGCCTCAAATGTATCCGAACAGAACTGTCCTCCGTAGAGTTTTCAGTGACCAATTTTTTTTTTAAAACAACACACAGTTATGATCTCACATCTTAGTCGACAAAATGACATCTTTGCTCTTTTGCACTGCACATCTGTGCTGTAGATTTGCCCAATGTCATCAATCTGTCATTTGATTTCTTGACTGATACTTCCCTGAGCACTGATTGTGGATCAGATAAAATGAAAATTTTGGCATCATACTTTTTTCCTGTTTATACAGTCATGTTGACTGTTCTAGTTGTGTGCATTTTTGTTTTCTTTCTATTGAGATAAAAGCCACACTGAATGCTGTAGTCTTTGCTTTTCATTACTAAGTGTGCGAAGTCCTCTTTACGTTCAGCAAGCAGGGTGATATCGTGCACATCAAAGGTGGTTAATAAATGTTCCTAGAATCCTTATGCTATGTTCTTCATCACAGGGGCCACGTTTTTGGATTAGTTACATAGTATTTAATCATAAGAACTACAGGGAAAGGGTACAAGCCTATTGCATACCTTTTCTGATTTTAAACCCTGCAGTCTCTACTTGTTCTGTTTGAACAACTGCCTCTTGGCCTATGTGCAGGTTCCACATGAGCACAACATTCCAGTGTTCTGGAATTCCCATGCTCTGCAGTGATATTACACACAACCAAATGCCTTTGCACAGTCACTAAAACACAAGCCAACATCTCTCTGGTATTGTCATTTTTCAGTCAAGATCTAGCTGATGCACAGCAATAATAGCTTTATTTCACATCATCTTCTCTAGCTAATTTAAGTTTCTGGCAGCTCCCTCTGTCTGAAAAAGTTTTTAATTATATCCTGCAAAATATTATTGATATTGTTCCATAATTCCCACATTCAGTTGGATCACCTGTATTGGGAAAGGACACAAGAATGGATCTCTCTATGCATATCCACTGCAGAAAATGGACAGATGTCCTCCACTATATTAGATTCTCTTATATGGTCTTCTTCTTGGACTCTTCTTGGTACCTTTTGTCCTCACTGGAGTGGATTCCCTGGTGCAGATGCTTGACTGAACTGTGTCTGAACTTGCTCAATCCTTGGATGGTACTTTGGATGACCTCCCAACCCTATTTTAATGCCTTTCATGAAAGGAGACAATTGACTCAGCTACTCTGCATGTGATTTATAACCGCTGAAATGTTTCAATGACATAATAAATATGCAAAATTATTAGAAAATTACAAATGTTAACAGATTTTTTAAATCCACCAGTTTGAATCAACAATGATATTTTAGATTATCCTGTGATGGAATTTTATTCATAATACCATTATTTGTTTAACCTTAGTTACTTATACCTCATTAATTTTCATAGTTTTACTGGCACATAACTCACACATCATACAATTCAATCATTCAATCATATTAAGAAGAGCATACAATCATCACCACCTCAATATTAATACTCGTTTTTATAATTTTATGATGCTCAGGAACTTTTCTCTGGTTATGAGTTGTCTCTGTTAATTGAACACACTTGCTAATCGTGTATGCTTTTTTCTGCTTTTCTTTTTTTTAAAAATTTTATTGGGGGCTCATATAGCTTTTATCACAATGCACATCCATTGTGTTAAGCACATTTGTACATTTGCTGCCATCATCATTTTCAAAACATTTTCTTTCTACTTGAGCCCTTGGTATCAGCTTCTCCTTTTTCACCCTCCTTCCCTCTCTCCCTCCCTCATGAACACTTGATAATTTATAAATAGTTATTTTCGTGTCATACACTGACTGATGTCTCCCTTCATCAATTTTTCCATTGTCTGTCCCCTAGGGAGGGGGTTATATGTAGATTATTGTGATCAGTTGCCCCTTTCTCCTCCCACCTTCCCCTCCTGGTAACACTACTCTCATTGTTGGTCCTGAGGGGGTTTATCTGTCCTGAATCCCCTGTGTTTCCAGCTCTTATCTGTACCAGTGTACATGCTATGGTTTAGCCGGATCTGTAAGGTAGAATTGAGATCATGATAGTGGGGAATAAGAAGTATTATAGAACTAGAGGAAAGTTGTATGTTTCATTGGTGATACATTACACTCTGACTGGCTCGTCTCTTCCTTGTGGCCCCTTCTGTAAGGGGATGTCCAATTGTCTACAGATGGGCTTTGGGTCTCCACTCCGCACTCCCCCTCACTCACAATGATATGATTTTTTGTTCTGGGTCTTTGATACTTGGTTCCTGATCCTATCGACACCTCATGATCACACAGGCTGGTGTGCTTCTTCCATGTGGACTTCATTGCTTCTCAGCTAGATGGCCGCTTGTTTATCTTGCTTTTTTTTTGCTTTTCAAACCATGCCATTAAAGTTATCTAAGTTTACCATTAAAAAAGTGATCCTTATCTAGATATTACAATGAATTAGTTTAGAATAATTGTTTCCTGTAAATATCACAGCTAAATATAGTAAGGAGGCATTGGCGGTCTACCATGAAGAATACCTGGGTACAATTCCCAGCCAATGTACTTCATTTGCAGCTGCCATCTATCTGTCAGAGGCTGGCATGTTGCTGTGATGCTGAACAAGTTTCATCAGCAATTCTATATTAAGACATCCTAGGAGGAAGACGCGTGGTGATCTGCTTCTGAAAAATAGTAAGTGGAGTGAAGCAGGACAGGGCAGCATTGCGTGTGGGGTCACCATTAGTCATGAGCTAACCACACAGCACTACTAGCATCAGAGCAAACCTCTTAGGTGTATAATGCCTGACCTTGTAAACAGATTAACACACATATTATCAATGTACTAATTCCCACATTTATGTTTCATGACTTAAAACCCTATTACAGTCTCGTTTACTCACTCCTCTCAACATATGCTAATATCGTTGGACCAATTATAAGAATAATTCATGTTAATTACAGAAAATACATAGCACTAATTCTTTTTTCTGATCCTGAGAATTCCATACAAGATATTGTAACAAAACTTTGTCCAACCCCAAATGCCTTGGAACTATATCTAAAAGTCTATTCTCTCACGTTTTTAACAAAATCGAACAGATCGGTGCTATCCAGCTGTGAACATATGAAAGTGCAGGCGTATTTTTACACAAAAAAGGATTCACACGAAATGCTAACTGCAGTTACTTTCACATGTTGTTGTTCTTATTTTCTCTTGACCTATATGTCTTATCAACGAGTAGTCCATGGCCATCTTCATGTTGAGCCTGTTATTTTGCAGTGACGTCATAGAGTTGACAATTAACTTGACATTTTTATTGGCATGTCTTTCCATATGACATACTACATCTCTAGGACAGAAATATTTTTCAAAAATAGTTTTTACTTTAGGAACTATAGTCAGTCTTATGATGTATTCTGTGACAAGCAGAAGCCGCAATGTGTTCGCTCGTGGTTCCTCAAGCCAACCAAACCCACTTCCATCAAATTGATTCCAACTCATGGTGACCCTCTGGGAAGCCCTGCTCCACAGCGTTTCCACGGCTGTGAATCTTTCCGGGAGCAGACTGCCAGGTTTCTCCTGCTGAGCAGCTGGTGGGTCCCAACCATCAACCTTACCTGTTGGCAGCTAAGCTCTTAACCGCTGCACGACCAAGGTTCATATGGTTATAAATGAACATCCCCTCTAATCCACAGCTTCATGTTTCAGAAAAATCAGCACACATGGGTCTGAGAACTTCAGGCCCCAGGGGACTCAACTCCTCCCCTAATTACTCATAAGACATCAGGTAGCTGCTCAGACCAGCTCTCACCGGCTCTTGTGCTTCTGTGGCTTGCAAGATGACGCTTCTCCCATTCCACCTAATGTTTTCATTCCAGGATTCCCAAGAGCCCTCTTTCTGTTGTTGGTTTTTGAATTGATGATAATATCAGATCGAGAATTGTGGTGAAATTCACTTCCGCTCAGGGATTAATTCTCCCAAATAGAAATGCTCAAGCTAACTGAAATAAAGAGAATGCAATGGCCAATATTATTGGACCAAACAAGAGTGTGGTCCGACTGAATAGGATTAAGAAAGTAGGATATTTACTTAGGAAACTGTAAGAAACTAGGATATTTACTTAGGAAACTGTAAGAAACTAGGATATTTACTTAGGAAACTGTAAGAAACTAGGATATTTATGTTCTCGTGCTTCTTAAATAAAGGCTGGATGGCGAGCGAATCTTTTGGCATTCGTGTTAAACCCTCTGTCTCGCTCAGTAGTTATATTTTAAAATTTGATTGATTAACAATATTGAAGATTTTTCATAGCCTTTCCTCAACAGTCAATGTGTGCCTCTCTATCTATCATTTACCATTTGTAGAGACTAAACCTACCAGAAGAGCTATATTGAAAAAACAACAACCACACGTGCTACAATAGATGCTGCAATGATCACCGAAATCCCCCATCGAAAGCACTCAGCGACTCATTCCCCAGCTGTGGGGAGTGTGGGCCCTGCTGTCAGTGATGACTCACAGGAGAAGTGAGAAGCTTTGCTCAAGAGCATGTCCGTAGCTAAGAAAAATAAAATTCCCTGGGGTAGGCGGCTGTCTTGACCACGAAGTTATGCTTTCAGACCCTCATTGCCCAAGAATTCTGAGAATAACTGACAAAGTGGTTAGGAAGCTTCTTTGTTGTCATATTCCGTGGTCCACAGAAAGGAAGTATCTTGGGGAACCACCTGAGTATTTCTGCATGTATTTAGCTATTAAGATGTATATTGATGTTTCCAGTAGAAACAAACTAAATGTTATCTAACATAGAGCTTTTTGAGCAATGGATACGTTTGTTATCAATGAACCTGTATCACCTTTATTCAGGTGAAAAGTATTTTCAATAAAGGGTCAAGTGAAGATAGCTGGTTACTATGTGCACACTAATTTTTTTCAAATTATGTACGTGTGCAGAAAATACCTAGAAATAGGATACAGAAATACTAACAGTGATGGTCTCTGCATAGTGAGGAGTTTAATTAGGTAGGACTTTATTTCTACTATTTTTTTATTTCATGCATTTATTTATGCTTTGTAGGGAGCACATGCTTACCACATTATTAAAAGAAAAACAAAATTATTTAAAAATAAGAAATATTTCCAGTTGTCCTTCAATTATGAAATTTGTTCATTAAAAATCACAAGATGTTATTCTGTCTGATTATAATAACCTCTTAAACAAGGCCTGATTCAGAGACAGAAGCTCCATCATTCTTCTTAAAATAATTATGTGAAGAAGATATTTGTGAAGTGAGAAAAATAAATGTGCTGGCAGTCACACAAAGGTCACTCCCATACTTGCTGCATTACTCTTACTTTACACTGATGTTCATTTTGAACTTTTCATAAGAAACAACCAAACAGAGATCCTGGCTCATTTTTGATAAATTAATCAAATTGGTAAATGTGCCTAATTCACTTATATTTTTCATGCAGTATTCAATGCGTAATTTTAGTGAAATCTTCAAAGTAAACCTTGATTAAACTTGTAAGTTCATCTCTTAATTAATTCAGTTTTCTGTTAATTAAAAAAAGGGGCGTTTTCTTTTAAAAATTGTGTTTCCTGCTAGGGCAAAGATGCCTTTACACTGTTACAATGTTTTGAATACTGTGCTAAATACTTGTCTGACTTTCCTTAGAGGTAAAAGATATTTGGCCTTTATATAGCAGGACCATGTGCTAAGGGTCTTATTTTAGGTCCCTGTGAAGATCCAGCTACTGGGTTCAGTTAAGCTTTCAGGAGGAGGTGAGTACAGGTACCAAGTTTTCATTAGCACAATTTCCCTCCTGTCCCCGGGGCTTCAAGACAAAATTAAACCAGTTGTTTAATTATTTTGTACAAATGCACCATGTAACTTACTGCTTCTCTGGGAAGAAAAGGCAGTGGGGTAAAAGCTGTGGTAAACCTGCAGGAGAAATGACTCCTAACCTTTGAGATCATTTGGGTTCCTGGCTCCAAGCTAGGACGTGGTGGCAGTAAGACAGCAGGTCTTCCGGTCACAAGCCTGCCACCACTGTTCCCGTGGCACCAGCTATCTATCAGCAGAGAGAAAATCCCCTTAGGTTTGATCATCAAGATACACAGGTACCTTGCAATAGGTGAAGGTGCATTAGGTAAATCTGCTGCACAAGAACTCTTCAGAGTGTTGAAAAGCAAGGCTATTACTTTGAGAACTAAGGTATGCCTGACCCAAGTCATGGAATTTTCCCCTTGCCTCATATGCATGTAGAAGTAGGACATGGAATAAGGAAAACTGAGGAAAAATGGATGCATTTGAACTATCGGGTCAGTGAAGAGTACTGAAAGTACCATGGACTGCCAAAAGAACAAGCAAACCTGTCCTGGAAGAAGTACAGCCAGAATGCTCCTTCTTGGCAAGGATGTTCTTAGGACATTTATCAGGAGATGTTAGTCCCAGGTGAAGGATAACAAGCTTGGTTAAGTGGAGGGGCAGTGAAAAAGAGGAAGGACTTTGACGGGATGGATGGGCACAGTGGTTGCAACAATGGGCTCAAACATAGGAACAGCTGTGAAGATGGTGCAGGTGCTTCCTTCTGTTGTACATGGAGTCAGACTGAATCTGAACCGACTGGAGGGCACCTAATAACACACGTGATGTTCGGAGAAGGAGCCCCGGTGGCACTGTGGGGTAAGCGTTGGACTGCTAACCACAAGGTCTGTAGTTCAAAACCACCGTGTACTTTGAAGGAGAAAGATGAGGCTAAATGCTCCCCCTGAAGAGCTAGAGCTTCCCAAACAATATGTAGGGTTGCCATGAGCCAGAAACAATTGGAGAACAGTGAGTGGGCTTTGTAAGATGTCTGGAAGTGAGCTGGACATATGCTGTATCTAGTTGTAGCTGTAAAAGACTTCAATGTTTGATTAATTGGTACTTGTTATAAATTGAATTTTGTGTCCCCAAAATATGTGTAGGAATCCTAGCTCTTATACATGCGTATGTAATCCTCTTTGGGAATTGGGTTTTCTTTGTTATGATAATGAAGCCCTAATAGTGTAGAATATAGCCCGACCTCACCACTTCTAAGATATTTAAAGAGAAAATTAGACACAAAAGGAACTTACTGAACATAGATTCCCAAATTTATTTGACCTACTGCCTCCTTTTCAGGAAGGAAAAAAAAGCCCGATGCCCACCTGGCAATTGAAACCGTTTATACTGGAACCTATAACCCAGGATAAAGTGTAGGTATTCGCAGCCCCTTCTCTCTCCCCAGTCATTCCAGCAGCTCCCAGGGCATGGCATCGCTCACTTTGGGAAACACTGTTACTGAGGAGGACAGACGCTATTGATGGAAATGGAGGCAGCTGATCCTAAAAGCCCAGGAAGTCCAGGGATTGCTGGCTACTAGAAGCTGAAATAGTCAAAGGAGGTCCTCCCTCTAGACCTGATACACGGAACCTGGACTTTCAGACATTTGAACTATGAGAAAATACATTTCTTGATTAAAGCCACCACTGGTGTCATTTCTGTCCCATCAGCACTAGAAAACAAAACTCACTGCCGTTGAGCTGATTCTGACCCAGAGCTACTATCTAGGACAGTGTCGAATAGCCGCTCTATAGAGTTTCTGAGGTTTCAATCTTTGCGAGAGCACACTGTCTTATCTTCCACAGAGTGGTTGCTGGGTTTAATTGTGGATCATGAGGTTAGCAGTCCAACGCTTAACTAACTACGCCGCCAAGGCGAAGGCGGCACCTCAATGGTCATGAGAGAAACCAGTGCTTTGCTGATGGTACTGCGGGAGCGCCTTCACGGGGACCCCTGAACCAGAGAACCAGGCCCAGACACTGTCTGCCTCTTCTCTTTATTTATTATTATTTTATTCCTCTGGGTGTCTAGCTAAAATCACAGCAGAAAGTCTTCTTTGTCCGAACAGATACAATTTTTCAAATCCTACTTTTCTAGGTTTTCCTATCATCCCCTCGCATCATACAAATCCTCCTAATGACAGTAAACACATAGAGATCTTTTAAACACTCGTGGCTCCTGCATTCTTCCTTAGAAGCATCACATTTGCAGTCACATTTTAAAAATGTAGCCAACATCCTAGCAACCGAGGTCAGGCTGAACTTGTGTGTGTGTATATATATATATATATATACACACACATATATATACATATATATATATGTATATATATACATACACACAATTTTTATGTATGTATATATATATATACACACATACACGCAATTTTTATGTATGTATGTATATATATACATACACACAATTTCATATACATACAATATATATTCTAAGAACAGAATCGTGTGTTCCTGCATTCACAGAGTGGGCACACGTGCCATTCTGAGTGTGATACGTCTTCAACCAGCTTTTATCTACCTGCTCTACTCAAGTGCAAGCCTACCCCTATGGCCTGTGGTGGCTTATAAAGAAAAAAAAGAGGCATATCATTCAGAAAAGTGCTGCAAGACATGTCTATGCGGGGTGTTGCAGTGAGTTTTTAAGGCAAGGGGGTGGGTGTCTTGACACAGGTTGCCCCTGGGCAATGTCTGGCATCATCCTCTCAGGGAGTCTTCGTCCTGAAAGGACTCAGCTCACACTCTTTTCGGGTTTGTCCTCTTTGGGGCACTCCTGGCATTCTTCGTGGTCTTCTTGGTGCTAACCGATTTGGGAGCAGGGGGCTTTCCCTTCGGTTTGGGTGGGTTACTGCGACTAGTGCGTCCAGCTATTCGCTTCTTGTCCTGAACTGTTCTCCGCTGCTCCTGAATTGTTCTCTGTTGTGCCTGAATTGTTCTCTGCTGTTCCTGAATTGTTCTCTGCTGTTCCTGAATTGATCTCTGGTGTTCTTTCAGCCTCTCTTCCCACTGCTGGGAGACAATTTATAAGGGTGACTGTCAAATACATCTTACTCCTTTATGCTCTCACAATGATATCAAAGTCAACGAATTTATTTCCTTATGGACATAAATAAATAACAGCAATAGTTACTCTGTATTATATCCACCAGCTGACCTGTGTGCCAACTATGGTGACCTGCACATTATGATACTGAAAGCTAGACCACTCTTACTTCCAATAGGTCCGTCTCTGGTGGACAAGTTTCAGCTGAACTCCCAGACTAAGAGAGTGTAGAGAAAAGGTCTGGCGATGTACTTCCAGTAATTAACCAAAGAGAGCCCTATTGCAGGGTAAACAAACACCCTCACCTGTGCCATCCATCCATGGCCTCCCCGAAGACTACCCTTTCCTTTCAAGTCATGGAGCCAGACTATCACTAAAGCCATTTTGAGGCAGGGATCATGAGGTGGCCTTAAAGACGGAGCTCTCAGTGTACCGTTCCAGGCTTGCTTTAGCAACCACCCTCCCTTTCTGCACCTTCCCCAAACCCAAACCCAATTCACTGCGGTCTAATCAGTTCTGGCTTGCAGTGATCCTATAGGGCAGGGTAGAATTTCCTTCGTGGATTTCTAAGACTGTAAATCTTTACGGGAGTAAATAGCCTATCTTTCTCTTGTGGAGGGGCTGGTAATTTTGAAATGCTGACCTCATGGTTAGCTGTCCAGCTTTTAATCCACTATACCACCAGGGACCTCTTGCTTGCTCAGAGAGCAGCATGGACCAAATCCTGACCCAGCAGGCTGCACAGGGTGACATGCAGTACAGTACCCCTGGGGGTAATCTTCTCATAAATTAGTCCATGTCACCACAGTGACTTCCAATTCTGTTCTTCAGGCTCTCAGCATTTAGTAATTGGGAAGGACAGTTTCTGTTCAGGGCATTTCCTGACACCTGTCAATCAAAACAGAATATTGTCTGATACAGTGCTGGAAGATGAGACCACTGGATTGGAAGGCACTCAAAATACATACAGCTGCAATAATGGACTTGAGGTTACCAACGCTCATGACCATGTTTTGCTTTGTTGTATACGAGGCTGCTGTGGGGCAGAGGTGATACAATAGCAACTAGCAGTATCTCCTCTGCCCTGAAAGTTTTCACTGAGGCAACTCAATAGAACCCAGACAGTAACACTACTCTTCGTGAACTTGAAAACACGAGTTCTCCTGAATGTACCCAAGCATACTTTACGGAGAAAACATGATTTAAAATTTTCAAAGACATAATGTGGTCTCTTACATCCCTGTATGATCTTGAATCTCTGGATTCCTCCAATAAAATTACTAATATCATAGTGTTACCACTAAAATAATTAATTTTTCCATAAGAGAATTAGTTTTTATAGATTATTTATATTTACAAGCATCTAAAAATTATTTTAGAGGAAGTGAAAGATAGCTTAGTGTAGTGAGGGGATGTGTTTTTAAGTAAGTAATGACATCCCTAAAGATATGTCTGTTTTAATCTTCAAGCCAAACTCACTGCCATCGTCAGTTCTGACACATGGCCACCCTGACAGGGGAGAGTAGAACTGTCCCTGTGGGTTTCCAAGGCTGTAATTCTTTACAGGAGTAGAAAGTCTCCTCTTTCTCCCAAGGAGTGGCTGGTGGCTTCGAACTGCTGATCTTCTGGTTACTATCTGACTGTTTGATATAAAAGTGAAATGTTAGCAATAATGAAAATAAAATCTATGTTAATGGGGAAATAGACAGTAGATCAGTATTTAATGCAACCAAATCACATCTGCAGCTCAACGACAGCAGCTGTGATAAAAATACCAAGTAGGAACAGCTACACACTCTTCTCAACTACCCAATCGAAAGCCAAGTACCATTGAGTTTGCTGGCTCTGAGGGTAATTTGGATATGATGGAATGTGAAGAATCCATACACTCTGTGGAACTTCTCTACATGCACTTGGGTCCACATTCATAGTGCTGCTACTTATACTTACTATGGATCTTTTACTGAGTTGATCTCTCCATTTTTCAACTAGGCAATTTTCAAGAAGCATCATCCTAAAAAACAAAACACAACAAAAAAACACAAAGTAATGAGTCCTTGATTATAAAATATAAAAATCAGAGTTTTCAATGTGAAAAAATCTAAAATATCTTCAATAACCTAATCCCACAATGTAGATGAACACCATCTATATTTTAGTGATATTTTCATTCATTCTTCTTTGTACTTACATATTTTGTACCACATTTTACACTTTGATAATAATATATGTTTTATCTTAACATTGTTATGCACTTTTATGATATAACATTTAAAAATTTTTAACTGTAATAATAACCATATAATGTTTGCAGAAAACTATGGATAGCTATCTGTTTACACATTTATCTTTGTCTTGGGTTGTTACCAGTACTGTCCTGAATATTTGTATAGATACTGTTTGTGAACTGTCTTATTATTTCTTCAACACAGATTTCTGAAAGTGAACTTAGTAGGTCAAAGGATGTTTGTTTTTAAGGTTTTCATAGCATAGGGTGAGATTGTTTTCCACATGGTGGTATTCTCATCCAATTTATTAATATTAAAAATCAGTTAAAATGGGATTTTGCTTTCATTTGGATTTGAATTCTAAGGAGGTTAAGTTTTTAAATATTTATTTACTATTAGTATTTCTTCTGGAACTTGTCTCTATAGATTTTATGCCCATCTACTTCTATAGGATTGCCTTAAAATCTTATTTATCTGTTTGGACTCCTTATAGTGTGAGGTTATTATTATCCGTTCATCATATCTTTTTTGTCAGACTTTATTTGGATCTTTATATACTCTATATTAGGTGGTCCAATCTGTGTATGGAACCTTTTCCCTCTCATCAGTTGCATTAATCTTGTGTAATGCATGGTGGGGCTTCCAAAAGTTCATGGAACAATTCTATTATCTTTTCACTTTGTTTTCCCATGAACTTTATTTGCAGCCCCTCACAGTTTCCCATTCAGATATCACTTATGTATTCATCTAATTTTATCCCTTTGCTTATTTTCTAATAAAATATTCTCAACCCCATTCATTCATTAATATAATAAATCATGACATTCATTATAATCTGCTTCAAAATGTTTTCCTAATTTTCTTTAGATGTCTCTTTTCTTGTACCACACAATTTTACCTCTATAGCTTTCTACCAATTTTGCAGGTTTCATAGAGCAGCTTCCTGCTCATTTCCTGTAGTTTCACAATTCCCTTTCCATGCCCTATTCATTTCTTCTTCCAAATGACCAAGGTGAGGCAACACTCAACTCTCAAAAACAATTTTTTTACTGTGATTTTCATCACAATTACATTAAATCTGGATGCTAACTTGGGAAAGATGGTGTGAAAGTTACTACTTAATTTATTTATTGTCCATTCGTCTATCCAAACAGAATGGAAAGACCGGCTGCCTGGTGCATCTCCAGAACTGCATTGACCATGGCAGTGGCTACAAACCCATAAGGGTTATAATCATACGGCAGTAGATGGACAGGTCATCAGACTTTTCTTTAGCTGTAACACTGGGTGGATTTAAACCACCAACCTTGTGGTTAGTAGTCAAACTGCAAACAGTTTGCACTACCCTGCGGCCTCTATTAAAAAGAATAATAATAAAACCAGTATCTGCCCCATGTAAAGATTGATTTTCACAAAATTGTTTTTACTTAAGGAATTTTCCTGAGCACATTCACTCTTCGCTTATCCACGTAGTTAGGTTTCAAAGATCATTATGCTGAAGCAGCTTTATGCAAGTTTTTGCAATAGATTCCCCGTTCCCATCTCCGCCTGCCCATCAGGTGCCCCTGGAGTATCTCAGGATGTGTGTGGTGCAGTACAGTCCTGTCCACTTCCCCACCCCGTCTTCTTCGCTACCAAGGAGCCGGCTAGAGTTGAAGGCAGGGTGGTTGGGTGTTGCTATGAGAGTATCATATCAAATGAGACTACATATGTGCTTTTTTGAAGACACTTAGTGACTTCTGAAGTGGATGCAAAAAGTTTTCACTCAAACACTCATGTTTCTATTTATCCTTAGTTCTATGAGCAAAGGTAGCCCTTGGGTGGCACAAATGGTTAAGCATTCAATGACTAGCTAAAGCGTTGCTGGGTTCAACTCCCTCAGAGTTACCATGGAGGAGAGGCCTGGCAATTGGCTTGCAAAGGGTCAAGGGTTTGAAAACCCCCCAGAGTGCAATTCTCTTCTGCAACACAGGGGTTTGTTATGAACTGGAATAGACTGAGGGCACCTCAGAACAGCAGCAAATAACCAATACAGATGATAAATGATAACCTGTTGCAGGCATCTACTACAGGTGCTTCTTTTTAAGGAAATTTGGCATCGTACTTTAAATTGTGAATGCTCCCTGAGGCTCATTTTGATAAGCAGCGGACCGAGCGCCTACCTTGAGCGCCACTCGTAACACATGATAAGAACATCTTGGTGGGGCAGAATGTGTGGGCACTGGCAGGAAGAATTGGTCATGAGCAGGACTTGAGTTCGAGGGATGGGGGACGAGGACTTAAAGATCTCTTTCACGTCCACGATGGTTGTTACTTCATTACAGCCGCTCCTCTGCACTGCTTTTATTTTTGCGTGAATAGCTGCAATTTAAAAATTCAACCTAAGTGTTGTTGAAGGCTTTGGAGGAAAAACTAGAAATGGTACATTCACATCAACTGCTGAGCATCTACTAAAGAATCACTCCTGTAATTATGGTCATGTCTTAACGGCCCAAATGAAGGCAAAAAGCCCACACAATCACATGTTTGATGGAAGGCCTCCCAGACGTCCACATTGTCTGAAAAGTGCCGAATCATACTGAGAGATATAAAAAAGTGAATCCACACGAAGGTGTTACTAAGTCTCTGCCATCTGGTCAGCGATTGCTCTGCATGGGGGCGCAGACTAGATTTAAAGAGAGGATCTCATCGATCCTTTTCAGTTCTGAAATGGCTATTAATTCTCAAATTAGGCATTTGCTTTGTGGGGGGTTGTTTTTGACAAAATGTATCAGAAAATTGAGTTACATAGAATGGCAAGAAAATATTCAGAGATATGTATATTTTATTTTTTATAGTCTGCCTTGTGATCAGGGAGCACTGCGATGTAGTGAGTTAAGAGTTGGGATCTTAACTGCAAGGTCAGCAGTTTGAGCCCACTAGCTGCTCTACAAGACAAAGATGGCGCCTTCTACTCCAGTAAAGATGTACAGCCTCTGAACCCCAAAGGAGATAGTTTACTCTGGCTGACAGGGTCGCTATCAGTTGGAACTGACTTCATGGCAGTGAGATCTTGTGACGATTTTAAGTGAGAGTCATATATTCTCAAATTCAGAAGTCATCTGAAAACTTATATAGTTCAACTCCTTTATCTTACGGAAAAACAACTGGAGTCATAATGTCCCAAATGGCACACCTATATTGCATTGGACTAGAAACCTAAAGGCTGATGGTTCAAATCCACCCAGTTGCCAGGAAAGAAAGGTCTGGTGATCTGTTTTTCTAGAGATGACAGCCCCCCAAACCCCTCTCTGGAGCAGTTCAACTCTGTAACCCAGGGCGTGGCCACAAGTCAGCACCAACTAGACTCCAGTAGGTTTGCTGTTGTTCCGTAGGGGTCATAACATTTTTAAACTGAAAGGAGTCTCTGATAATGAGATCTATCCTTTAATTTCATACGTTTTCAAAATGAGACCGAAGGGAAATAGGGGCTACATGTGGTATTGCAGATATCACTCGTTTTGATCACTCTTTAAAGCATAGCTTCCTGGGCCCCTTGGTATGACTCCTTCTCACGGAGTTCAAATCAGCCTAATGTGCATCTGTCTGGGATTCCATCCTCGGACACTGGTTTGTGAAGGAGCCAGAGGGTTTTATTGACAAGGTCATTTCTGAGAGAATAACATAGGGAATGCTATGCCAATGTAACTGATTAGTCACCAAGGCTAGATCTTGGCAGATGAGGGAGTAAGTTGCTAAGATTAAGATATCTAAATAGAACAAGATAATATACAAAAGAGGTTTAAAAACAAATCACAAGAACAAAAGACTTGCAACAAAATTAAGAATTTTTGCTTGGACAACACACATTGGCTATCTACAAATGCTCAAATTTGGCAGTCTGCTTAAAAAATCTTTCTCAAAGTTTTACATTGCTGTGGTCGTTCCACACTCATGTGTGACTTATACTCTAAAGTAGATGTCCTTATTGATGTAATTTTTATTGCTATAATTTATTGTAGTCATGGAAGTAATTTTTATTGATGTAATTAGCAGTGTGACTATGAAAAACCAAGTTATCAAGTAAATATAGGAATCTAAGTTAGCAAAGAAAATGAATGTTTTTCCCTCAACTATTTTTTTGTCTTTTCAACAGATATAACTTAAGAGACAAAATAAAAATATAAAATGGCAAAATGGATATTTTAAAAGAACATACTTTTTGTTAAATTTACCTTTGGATGCTAGTAGTAGAATTATATGTATATGTTAATGCATTTACTTTATCATGATTGACTTTTGCACCTTTCCTTTAAAGAAAGTGCTGAATGACGCCTTCAAATAAAAGAGAAGAGGGCTTTTAATCTATGAGAGTACTGTAGTCCTAAAATTTCATGATTATCATATTTCCCCCCAATTTCTCTAAGATGTCTATTCTTTGTAGCTGCTTATATGTAACAACTACTACTACAACAAAAACAGGGATATGTCTTAATTACCTGATCTCAGATTATCAAACCCATGGACTAGCAGATGCCCTGCAGCAATGAAACCAATGACAGAGGAGGTACAGTGCTTTGCCCCAATGAAGTGGGGCTTCTCATCAGGACAAGTAGTGTCCTGATGTCCAGCTTTCCATCTGACCCACCTGGCTGTTCTGATCTTGGTAATTTACTTAGTTTGCACTTGATTTACCCAGGAGGGGAAAATGAGAGAGAGAGAATTTTTATAACTGTTGTTATTGTGTCATCTAACACTCACCTCATTAATTTAATCTGAAAAATCTCCAACCTCTGCTTTTACTTCATGGCTAGCAGACCTGGTCTTAGCAGGAGTGGTCCACCCTACTGAGATTCCAGCAGTGCACGGTGTCAAGTCTCAAAAGTGAGGGGCTGCAGCCAAGGACTTACCATAGCTGTAGTTCTTACTCAGATACGTCCCCAGAGTTGGCTTCACCTTCTTGCACTTGCACCTGTCTAAAGAAGGCGGAGGAGAACAACACAAGTGAAATGGGGATCAGCAGTCACTTTAGGGAGAAGAAGCGTGTATGCTTCAGAAATGAGAACTTACCGGGGCTTAGGTGTTTGCAGTCAATGTCAAGAGGCCTTTCTTGAACCATCATGTCTGGGGTGATGTCTATCCACTTCACATCTGAAACACACATAGGGTCGAATGGGCAGGCAGTATGGGTCAGTGTTTTTTCTGTTAACACAATTGGAGTAAGAACATTCTGAAGGCAAAAACCTAGCCCAGAATCAGAAAAAACTCCCTACCATCGAGTCTATGCTAACTCATGGTGACCCTATAGCCAGGGTAGAACGGTCCCTGCAAGCCTCTGAGACTGTAAACTGATTAAAGGAATAGAAAGCCCTGTCTTTCTCTCAGAGACATAGGTAGTTTCGAACTGCTGACCTTCTGTATCGTAGCCCAGAAGAGCAGTAGTAAATAGTAAAACTGTCATGTGGTTACTGACTAATTGTTTCATAAAGACATCTGGGCTTAGACTAGAAAACCTTTGGGTCAAGACTCTGCCTGCTCAGTAGAAATGATGTCTTGGCAGACAGAGACGGCTGTAGTGGATGGTTTCAATCACTCCCTCTGCAAATTCATTTTAAAATGTTGCTTTTTCCAAGTTGATGGTTTACATGAACCAAAATCACCCAAATATTCCCAAATGCTCCACTCATATTTCACAGTGGAGAAGCAGTTATAACCAAAGACAAGCAAAACCCTCTCTATCATTTACATAATTAAAACAACAAATACATCTTTTCTAAAAGCCTGGGCTAGAGAGAAGTTTCAATTTTCTTCTTCCCTTAATTGCCACCTTCCCTCATGTTCTGAGGTCTGACTTCAAAACACTACTCTCAAGCAGCCCCACAGTCTTGAAACATGGGATAACCTGAGGTCGAGAAAGCCTAGAGGAGACAAGGAAATGTACAAACATCGTTTCAGATTTCATTTCAAACAAATGGATGTGAAGTCTCTGCCTCCTCCCCTTGAAGAACAGCAAAACGATCCAGGGAAGAGAAGACAGAGGGAAGCCCAGATGAGTCTAAGACGCCACAGATGTCCCCTCTTCTAATCCGGGCCTATGAAACAGACACCTCCGTTGAACAGCACGTCAGGCGGGGCATAAGGATGTCGCCTGTTGTTCCTCAAAGTCGCACTAGATGAGAGCACAGTAGCCTCTGCCTTGTGCCATTCATTACTGAGGAATCATTGTGCCGGTGCGTGTAAAGTCCCTACACCAGGCAGCACATAGGAAATACGATGCGTATGTGTGCTGCTGCTGCTATTTCCACTATGATTTCTGTGATTACTGTCAATGAAAACGGCTCCAATGACACTTTTTGTAAGCAACAGCCCCCACCCCCCCAGCACCTCCCCCCTCATCCCCCAGGCTTTTCTCTGGGGAAAGGCAATTCTGCTCGAGGTCAAGTCTCCCTCCACCCCTGGCTAGTTCCTCCGGAATCACCAGCAGCAGGGCGGAGGCTACCCTCTGGGGAGTGCTGCCTAGGGCTCAGCCCCCACTGGCCCCTTGGTCCCCTGCCTCCCTCCTCTCGCTCACCCTCAGGCAGGTCAGTGACGATGGCCTCCGGGGAAATGCACACTCCTCGGTCGTAGACGGGCAGCTCGTCACAGGCCAGGCTCTCGGGCCAGCTGTGGTTGTACATCTTCATGAGGGGCTCGCAGTCATCGCGCGCGCGCTGGCACAGGGACTTGCACGGCCTGATGGGGTCGTGCAGGAACTCCAGAGTGCAGATGGGTGCGTACATGGCGCAGAGGAAGAAGCGCAGCACGGCACTGCAGTTGGCGCCCACCAGCTCCTCGTACTGCTCGATGGCCAGGATGGCGTTCTCCTGCGTGCTGTGGTGCAGGTGGTTGGGCATCCGCGTGAGGTTCCAGGGCATGTGCCGGCACATGGGGATGCGCACCGCCTCGCAGGGCGCGCCGCGCACACCCAGCGCCAGGCGCAGCCCCAGGCCCACCGCCGCCAGCACCGACAGCCACATGGCCCTGCCCGCCCGCGTTGCCACCCGCCCGGGCCGAGAGGGTCCCTCGTTTCGCGCCTTGTCGCTGGTGTTTCTCGGGGAACGTCCCCAACTCCAGTGGAACTCGGGCGTCGGGCGAACTGCGCCAGAGCCGCTCCAGGCCCTGGGCTCCGGGCCGCGAACTCGTCCGGGCGGCTCCTGTGCTGGACCCCGCAGCTCCCAGCGCAGTCCGCCCCGGCCATTGCGGGACCCTATTTATCCCGACACCTCCCCTGACGTGGGCTTGTGGCTCGGATCGCCCCTTGGCGGCGGCAGACGAGCGGCGGGGCTCCCCCTCGCGGGCTGCACACCCCCACCCAGCCCTCTCCGGGCAGGGCCGGTGACATCATCTCCTCTGGGTCCCGCTTGTTCAGCCTGCCTTCTCCAGAGGTCCTGCCTTTTGAGTCTGGCCAGTCCTTTGTCTTCCGACCAAGAAAAGGAGCCTTCTGGCAGTCCATTGGGCCGCCGGATCCAAGAGGGTGCAGGAGAGGCGTTCAAGGGAAAGGCAAGGCTCCCTGAGTCAGAGCTGAGTGCTGCTTGCATCTTCTGCCTGCAAATTCCCTTAGAGTTGGAGGAAGGACAACTCCGAAACCAACCCTAACTGCTGCCCTGGAGTCCTGTTCAACTCGTGGTGACAATGTCTGGTCACTCGTGGGGACTAGAAACACAGCGCTTTCTAGTTCCAGTCTCAGAAACTCACAGGGCCAGGTCTGCTCTGTCCTAGAGGGTCACTCTGAGTCAGCAAGGAGGGAGGAAAGAGTGTAGTGGGTATTGGAATATAAGGGACAGATTGCTTGTTGCGGTTGTGTTTTACTTTTAGCTCCGTGTCTTTTAGAACGGCACTTGGTTTGTTCCTGCTCCAGGAATTCAGCAGAATGCCTTGAAAGTGTAATACTATCTTTAGTTAGAGAAATGTCTTCTATCCACCGATATTTCTCTTTGCCTTTTCTAGCCGCCCCCCCCTCCGCCCCCAGTCCCTTCTCCTACAGATCCTGGTAGCACTGTAGTTTAGGCATTAGATTGCTAACTGCAAGGTTGGTGGGTCAAGCTCCCCAGCCAGATTCTCTCCAAATGTTAACCTTTAGCAGCAGAGTTTAGTTTGAAGTCTGTGTTTAATGAAGACAACTTCTTTCCCTCCAAAGCTTAGACCCATGAAAGTTAGTGTGGTTTTGATCTTGACCAGGATTGAAAGTTGAACTAGTGCAAGATGAAGCTGTCTGCTCCCTTAAAGATCTGCAGTTTCAGAAACCCTGCATGTCAGAACTCACTTGATAGCAGTGGGTTTGGGTTTTGTTTATATTCCCTTCTCCAGTATGAATGGAACCCAGGAGAAAACCAAGAAATGTTTGGACACCACAATTAGAAAGCTTCCCTTCCCACTACCCAATTCATGCCAAGATATCTGATTTTTTTATGTGCTTGGAGACTGTTATTTGAAATGAGTAAGCATGAAAAACAAGTATGTGTATTTTAGAGTTCTCTTTTGTCTTTGAAAGAGGAAAGGGAGTCCTAGTGGCACAACAGTCTATTACTAATGTAAAGGTTGTCGGTTCCAACCCACTAACCAGAGAAAGCTGTGGAAATCTGCTTCCATAAAGACTTGGAAATCCTGTGAGGCAGTTCTAGTCTGTCCTGAAGGGTCGCCATGAATCAGAATGGATCTGACAACAGTGGGTTGGTGTAGGATTAGGAAGAGCTGATGAAATCAACGACTGGATCAGCTAGTCACAAAAGGAAGCTTTACTGTTGCTAGTGTCCATCAATCTTCAGATGGTAACATTTCCGGTCTCTGCTATTTTCCCAGGGCATTAGCAATATGGAAACATGCTCTGCAAATGTTAATCTTAAAAACTGTAGTTTAGTTTGAAACCTGCATTTAGGAAGGACAGCATTCTCTCTCCAAAGCTTAAACCACAGAAGCTAGTGTGGTTTTGATCTTGACCGGGATTGAAGTTTGAAATAGTGCAACAAGCAACAAAAGAATGGATTTGTACTGAGCATTCATAATGGCCTGAACAGAGTGCTAAGTAGGTTAAATGCATTATTTGACCTTTTGGGGTGCTGTGAATTAAACATGGGACCACCGTAAGTTAAAAAGATAAACGCACCCAAAGAGGATTCACCCAAAGAGTTAAATCCCATTTAGGAAAATCCCAGAACATGCGGTTACAACTAGCACAATCTAGAGAGGTATTTCAATTTTCTATAGAGCAGATCGGGAGTTCCTGGTGTGATGCTTTTTTTAGATAAGTGACCAACTATAAGCCAACGTTTGGAGGCTCAAGAACACGTCTAGGGAAGCTTGAAAGACAGGACTGGAAATCTGCTCCCTAAAGGTCACACCTGGACAACACTGAGTAGTCGTTCGATGGTGCTCACATGACACAGCCGTGGGCTGAAATCAACCAGACGGCAACCGACAACAGGCTTGAAAGATGCCAAATCAAACAAGTGGGCAGCATGGCTTCTGGGTGATCATCTCAAGCCATTTCCAAGAGGACATTCCAAGGCGTGTGAAACCCTAGTTTAGTAAAACTTACTTTAGCCCAAGTTCCTAAAAGGGGCAAAACACTGTTCTGGGAAGGAGCTCAACTAAGCACGCTTTTACTAAGAGTTTATTGAGGCAACCTTGCAGTCAGCCGTTTAAACCTGCCACATTTGTTTACTGTGCAAATGTCCAGTTAATGCGTTGCCTGTGCTTCTGGATCTTCTCCTAGCAGAGCCTTCAAGAATAAAGTGGGGAGAGTTTAAGAGCCTCTTTGTAAAGCATTTTCACACCATGCTAGTCCACCTCCAGGCTTCCCACAAAGGGGAGGAGCAGGTTGGAGTTCATCAGGAGATTCTTATCAACTGGTCTCCTTTCTCATGCACTTTGAAGAGGCTCTGTTTCTAGAATATTCTGCTTTGTCACTCAGACCACTACATGTATTAGCCAAATGTTTATGTAACTGAAGAAGTTCTAATAGTCAGTACCTTCTTTTTGGCTTCTCCTGGGCTCCTCAAACGTTTTTTTAAATCTGTCCATCCATGGCTGTCTGGATTTTTGACAACTCCATCTTCAGTCCTATTCTCATTCTCTACACTTCCTGTTACTTCAGATTGTTTAGCTCAACGTTGACACGTGGGCCTGATAATTTATGAGTGTGTGCACGTGTGTGCAGGGTGTTGGGAAAAGTGGTCCTGCCAGGTGGGTTGTAGGCATTGCCGTTTCACCTCCCATCTCGCCTCCAGATGTGAACATCCAAGGTGTCTCCAGATATTGGCAGATAATTGTCCCCTTGGGGGAAAAATTATTCTGAGTGGAGAATTACTGCTCTATTCTGAAGACTTGCTTCACTACCATGTCCATGGCTAGGGCTTCCAAATCCAAACCTCTGGACCACTTTTTAAAAACTGTGTTTTGAAAGTGTTAATCCAGCTATTCCTTAGGTAGATCCACCTGCCATGTTTACAGACCCTTGGTGATACAGTGCTTGAATCACTTGACTGCTAACTCGAAGGTCAGAGGTTCAAAACCTATCAGCTGCTTGGGGGGGAGAAAAATGTGGCACTCTGCTTCGGCAAAGACTTCCAGCCTGAGGGCCCTCTGGGGCTGTTCTACTCTGTCCTATAGAGTTGTTGTGAATTGGACTTGACGTACCAGTGGTACATTGGGAGCCCATGTTTATCTTTAGCTGAAACACAAATCCATTCCCACCAAGTTCATTCTGATGACCACATGTGTGACATAACAGAACTGAGGTCCCCAGGGCTTTCTTGGCTATCTTTTCAGAATCATACCTTATAGAAGCAGATTGCCAGGCTTTGCTTCCACACTACCGAGAGGGTTTGAAAGCTCAGTGTTCCAGCTAGCTGGGTACATGTTGTTTGTCCCATCTAGGCGCCCATCTCAAACACGGCAATTCCTAAACTGAGTATAGCTTCTTTCCTTCCTTATTCAGGACTGAACTTCGCAGCCACAAACTGAAACATCTCCTTCCAAGGATAATTCTTTCTCTACAGACCAAAATTCATTCCCATGCCCCTCTTTCCCACTGTACAGAACCCTGATAGAGATGTGGGTTAAGCACTGACTGTTAATCTCAAAGGCATCCCAGAGGTGTCAGTGTCATGAGTTGGGGTGTGATCCCCATGGTCGGCAGTTTGAAACCACCAGCAGCTCTGAGGGAGGAAAGACTGGGTTTTCTACTCCTGGAAGCTGTTAGTCTCAGAAATGCATAGGAGGTTAATGAGTCAGCATTGTCCAGATGGCAGTAAGTTTTGAGAGTTAAACTCAAGGTAAAACTCTATTAACTTCCATCTTTTCAATTCTGACTCATAATCACCCTATAGGACCTGGTAGAACTGTCTCGGGGGAGGGATGGGGTGCAGTCTGGGCTGTAAATCTTTATAGGATCAGAAAACCTCATGTTTCTCTCAAAGAGTGGCTTGTGGTTTCAAACTGCTGACCTCGTGATTAGTCACCCATTTTGTAGCCCACTACACAAGGAGGGTTAAATCTATCAACTGCCCTGCAGAAGGAAGACAAG